TCCTATAGTAAATTCCTTTGTAAGTAAAACTAGCTAAAGTGATTCTATTGTCCAACCCAGTGCTGGCAGATGAGATGTAAACTGTTCCATGTTTTTGCCATCAATTACTCCCCATTTCATCAGTTAGCATTCTTCTATCCATATTTGTTCTTCTAGTAGGTTGTTGAAATTATTGATTTGCCAATGACCCCATATTGTTTTTCTATTGCTGCAAAAGAAATTATCACAAATTTAGTGACTTAAAACAATATCCATTTACCAGTTTACAGATATATAGGTCAGAAGTACAGGCAGTCTCAGCTAGGCGCTCTGCTTACTGTCTCACGAGGTTGAAATCAATGTGTTATCCAGACTGTGCTCTTCTCTGGAAGCTCTGTAGAAGAATCTGCTTTCAAGCCCATTCAAGTTGCTGCCAAAAATCCAGTCCTTTGCTGCTCAAGGTCTAAGGACCCCAGTTCCTTACTGGTGGTCAGCCAGAGGCCACTTTCTTCTTCCAGAGGCCACATAATTCCTTGTCACATGGCCCCCTCCATCTTCAAAGCTAGCCCAAAAAAATGTGCTTCCATTCTGACTTCTCCTTCTGTCACCAGCCAGAGAAAACCGCCTTTAAAGAGTTCATGAGATCAGATTAGACCAACCAAATGTATCTCCCTTTTAATTAACTCAAAGTCAACTGGTTACTAACCACAATTATATCTGCAAAATCTCTTTTGCCACATAACACTACATATTCACAGAGGAAGAACTTATACAAGGGTAAGGGTTGTTGGGGTCACTGCGGTGATTCTGAAAATTCTGCCTACCTCAGCCCTCTTCAGTTCTCTTCATTATCAGAGGTTGAAACCTGATTTTTTTTTTAGGCTAGTCAGTGGGGGAGAAACTAACATTATCTACTTAGTCTGGCATCTTAAAGTCCCAATCACACTCATAGTGGTTTATATATTTATTCATATTACACTTATATGTGCAAAAAGTTTAAAAATATTTTCTCTATAAATGGTCCAGTCACTTTTGATAGACTTCACTCTCTTTGTTCACAAGAAAAAAACTTAGCAAAATATAATTTAGCCTGATTTAATTACCAAATAGTCTTTTAGAGAAATGGTGTTCACTGTCAAAGAAAAACTGCACTGGATGGAGTTAAACAAGTAAGGAAGACTTTATTAAAGTCTACTGCAATATGGGAGTGAGATTAAACGTGACTACTGAAACAAAAGATGGCAGTTTTTGTTTTTATTATTATTATTATACTTTAAGTTCTGGGGCACATATGCAGAACGTGCAGTTTTGTTACATAGGTGTACACGTGCCGTGGTGGTTTGCTGCACCCAGAGGTAAACTAGTGGAAAAGTACTGGAGGACTTTAGGGTGAAGGTTGGCCAATGTGATTAGGCCACCTGTATTTGCTAATTGGCACTTATCTAAATTAGGCTTCTGTGCTGCTGCAAAGACTAGGATACAACAACACTATTTTTATTGATGATTCTATTTCAAAGAATGCCTCCCAGGTCCTTGAGAAAGACATGACTGGTTGTCATATCTGCAAGAGGCTGCAAGAATATTTACATCTTAAAGGGGTAGAGAAATAATTTATAATTCCAAGTTTTCTGAAGTAAATACTCTAAGAAAAGGGAGGTCAAGAATCTACACTCAGGAAAAAATCTGTCTAAAGTTTAGTCAAGCTAAGTGGAATGTTAGGACCATCATTAACACTATTAAGGATAAAATGCCTAGATTTTTAGATTTCCACTCATTCCCTATTTCATCTCAAAAGGATGTATGAGTGTATGAGGAAATAAAAGCTCTGTAAACGCATGTCCGATAACAAAAGATGACGACCTTAAATTCATGTAGTGTCCCCTAGACTCTTGCTGGTCACTTCTGCAGTATGGGCAGTCGGAATTGTTCCATTAGTGAACACTGAGTTGCAAGTTTTTACTTTTTTTAAGGTGGTTGTGCTGGTGCCTCCCTCTGGAATCCTTAGTTCTATTTGCTTCCAGTCTTGAAGTCAATTAATTCTGTATCTTCTTTGTCAGATACCAGTATTCTGCCTTTCTTTTGTGCCTAATCTCTAGAAATAAACACAAACTCTTGTATCCATTTCATGTTTGTAATCCTTGAGAACCAGATCATTTACCTGTCTTCCACAGCACCTCTGAATATTGTTTGCCACGTGTTAGACATGGCAAAAAGCTGAAGTTTCCTAGCAGCCTGAAATTCTCTAACACCATTACAGAAGTATGCTATACACACACACTTGCCCCAGGTATTCAGTCATCTTAAACTCATCTCAATGTTTCAATCCATTACTCCGTATATTCTACTCTCAACCCAACACACACATGCCCATTTGGAGACGGGCAAGCTGACTTCTACTGCTTTCTGTCACTGTTCTTCCTATCTTATAGAGCATTCTTTTCCATATAATTCCAAGGTCTAATACTCTAGGTTCAGCCTTTTCTGTCTTAACAGGAGCCATTATAACTTTTTAATACCTGCCTTTCATGCCAATTGTATTGCTAAAGAGGCTAAAAATTAATCCAAGAAACTCAGGTTTATCAATCCATGAAACTCAAGCATCATTTTTTTTTATTTTTTATTTTTATTTATTTATTTTTTTTTTGAGACAGGGTCTTACTCTGTCACCCAGGCTGGAGTACAGCGGCACAGTCTCTGCTCACTGCAACCTCCACCTCTCAGGCTCAAGGGATCTGCATACCTCAGCCTCCCAAGTAGCTGGGACTACAGCCATACATCACTAAGCCCAGCTAATTTTTGTATTTTTTTGTAGAGACAGGGTTTTGCCATATTGCCCAGACTGGTCTCAAACTCCTGAGCTCAAGCAATTCCCCAGCCTTGACCTCCCAAAGTGCTGAGATTACAGGTGTGAGTCACCACGCCTGGCCCACTGCTTTGTTTTTTGCAGTAACCACCTCCTTCTCACCTGGGGCAATATGCCACAAAATACACCTTAAGGAGGCTATTTAATTCTCCATTTTAATATTTTCAAAATATTACACCTATCGTACACTCTTAAGAGATGAAGCAAACATATGGGATAGTCACCTGACTATAAAAATGTTTTTAAAGTCATAACTGACAGATGTCAAAACAAATGTCTTACAAATAGACTGAAGTTCTGTCTAGCAATCTGTGCTTTCACTTTTTAACTTCTATGAAGTCATAAACACTGTTATTTTTACCATCTCCCAAAATGGAATTTATGAACCTATATTCCATTGATATAATGACTATTGTGTCTTAAACATATGACCCTTCGAAAATGTTTATCACTTATACACGGAGCAAGAAAACAAGTATCACCATCTAGCTATAACTAAAACACACCAGCTTTAACAATTTTTGCTGTTTGTTTTTAAAAATTCTATAATAACTTTATTTTATAAGTACACACACACATATAAGGAGAGAGAAAAAAATTGATGGTTGAATAAAATGTCTTCACTCTGAAGCCCAACTCATCATATTATATAGCAAAATATGGATTGTCATTAATTTATTGAGTTTTTAAAATTATACATATCAATATGTAAAATAATTTAATCCAATTTATAACTTCTTTTGCTCTTGATATGTGAGTTTTTTTTCTAATGTTATAATGTATTGCTTTAACATCTAGTACCATTAAATTGATTCTAAAGTTGGGAGTATGGTAGTATGAATGTGAGTTGTTATTAATCAGAATAGGAGATTAAAAATAAAATTTAGTAAATTAAAACCTTAGATCTCAGACCTAAGATTTTAAGGGTTGGATGATGTTTAGCCAGTTGTCTCACATGTGAAAGCTGCCATTACCATCATCTTCTTTCATCTTTTGCCTTTGCCATTTTCTGAGAACGTTCCTGCTGTTTACGTAATCTAGTTATGATTTCTGCCCATGATAAAATAGGACAAATATCCTCTATCTTTGGCCACCAAGGCAAAGGTTACTGGGCCTCCAAGTAGTGCTATCTCCCGCTTTTAATTTCCTATAGAGATTCTAGTAATATGGCTTCTTTTTTCAGTAATTATGACTCAAAATGTTGACCCATACTTTATTACAGTTTTCCCCCAAAACGTGGTAAACAAAGCTCAGAGACAATTTAAATTATTAGAGGTACAAATACTGCATACCTTGAAACTCTTATTCCTTAGTATACAGATTTGTAAGTTTCATGTACCCATAGTCAACGGATTCTGTGCCACCATTCAGGATGTACCACCATCCACCATTCTTGCTGTACCATCCCCAACACCCACCCCTACCCAAATATGCAATTAAAAAATGTTTCCTCACTTGGAAGACCATTTCCCCTCCAACACACATATACACACACACACACACACACACACAGAAAGAGAGAGAGAGAGAGAAGGGAGAGAGAGAGAAGAGGGGTGAAAGAGAGACAGAGAGAGAGAGAGACAGAAATGGCTAAAGGATCTAGCTTCCTCCCAAGTAGTTGGGGCTACAGCCGGCCCACTACGGATGATGCACCTCCTAGGGTTTAGAACTCCTGTCTTCTACATCTACCCCCAGAGACTCGGTCAATCTATGCACATAGTGAGCAATCAGAAAACGTTTGTGGAATATTGTTGAACGTCAAAAATCACTCTGGGCTCCGTAACCTTGGCTTTTTGTTAAAGATGATGAATCATCACAGGATAATTTTAGCATCCAGAGCCCAGACTGCAATTGGGTTAGAAACTGTCCTAATACGTAGATTTCACCATCTCTGCCCCGAGGAAGCAGAAGGAACCCAAGAACACGGACAACTATGCCTTCGGCCGCCAGCTTCCAAGTAGGCCAGATGATTATTAAAAACACGCCTCAGTCAAGGGCGTCGCTTCAAAATGCAGTGCAGGCTTGGGCGAGTTACGAAATCCACGCCATCCCGCACCTTTGTCGCTCGCTCTTCTTCCGCGCAAGGCACGCCGGGACAGCGCGGAGCCCAACCGCCGTCACCAAGGCAACCAGCCTGCACGCTGTTGTCTTGGAGACCGGCTGGCACCTTAGTGAGCCCAGCAGAGGGGCCGCCTCCGCCCGCACCTAGCCAGGATGCTTCGTCGAGGCTATAAGGCCTCTGAAAGGCGAAGACACTTGAGCGAGAGGCTCAGCTGGCACCAAGACCAGGCACTGAGTAGCAGCATATACCTCCTACGAGAGATGGGCCCCACTGGCTTCCTGCTGAGGGAGGAGGAGCCGGAATACCTGGATTTCCGAGTAACTACCGCCTCTACCGCCCCTACTTCGCCACCATCCCCGCCCACCGTGTTCCCCTCCTGGCCTACCCAATGTGCATAGCCACCATCACAATCCTTGAGGATACTTGCTGCCTCACCCCCGAAAGCGTCTCCCCGCGAGTGTTCCAGACCCTAAAAGACGTGCAAATTACAGAAGGAAATAGTATTTATTGGAAGTTTCTTTTTTGGATGTTAAGACTTCAAACTGCAACTCTTGTAAAAGATAATGGCTCTTGATCTTTAGGCTTGAAAATGTCAGGGGCTTTATATGAATATCTGGTTTGCATTACATGTGTTCTTGGATCCGTTGTTAGTGGTCTTTAGTCATGTAAATCAAACGAAATGAAAATTCTACAATCTGCTAGCATACTGTAAATATTTTCTAAATAAATAGGTTTCCCTTTACTCTTTGCTCACTCTGAAATCATATGAAGGCTCTATTAAAGGATGGTTTAAATGGCAATACCTTGGAAAGGTATTAATGAATAAAAATTCAAGTTTGCTGAAAGACCACAGATGTTTCATATTTGCATATTCCACCCTTAACCACTCAAAAGTCAGCCACTGCACTACCTCCTAGGAGTTGACTTATAAAATTTTACGTTAATGCCATGCAGTTTGAGAGTTGAATGCAATTTACTAGTCTGTGCTTATTTAAAGCATATTTGTTACTTTGTTGCTTCAATACTTAACTGTATTTGATTGTTTTAGCCAAACTAGGCTTGGTGAATAAATTTTGTCCTCTTGAATAAATAAATTCACCGACTCAAATGCACCGAACAAAAATCCAAAATGAGCTGTCTTACAAAAGTGCTTAGCTCCACCCCAAAGGAGAATTTTCTTACAGTAAGGAATTTATGGGTTGATTTTTGCTTTTTTTCTCTTTAGACTTTGGAAATTAGATTAATTTTCACCTGCTTAACGGCAGGTCACTTTAAAACTATCTTAATTTGTTAATTTGCTAACAAAGACAAATAATGAAATGAAAAATCAGCCTAGAGACTGGTATCAAGAGTTAAGATTCTCCGATAGAATCTATTCAACCTTTTTGAATCACCTAAACTAAATTACCTCTTCAAATCTCTTTTATTAACTCAGTTTTGCTCTCTCAAATTTTACTGATCTTTTTAAGTACGCATTTTTCTTTTAAAGGTTTTTCTAGGAAATCCTCATGTTTGTAACTGTTCCACATTTCTGAAAGGAGAGGAACTTTGTAAGCATATCTGCTGGTAAGTGATTTTTCATGAAGATCTTCCACAAAGGAGCATATTGGTGTGTTACATATTTTGCCTTTTTCACTGTTTGAATAACAACAAAATTAAAGAAATTTGGTGCTTGGGGAATATAAAGTTAAAATGGTCATAGCTTACCAATAAAATTTTCAGTATTTCATTTTATTCTGAAAACTGAATAACGTTTAAATTGGGAAACAATATATAATGTTAATGCTTTTAAATAGAAAAAAATCAATTTTAGATTCTCATGTACAAATGTGAAATCTAACTATAAAACAGGGGGGGATATCCTGATCTTATCACTGATGATAATTATGTGGTTCATTTGAGATATTGCTGTGCTTCAACAAATTGTGTTTCCAAAATCACATTTTCTTGAATATCAAATGTTCCATTTTCTACATGTATACATAGGTTGAAAGTATTCACCTTTTCCATATTGGCCTATGGCAGTCAAGTTTCAAAATATTTTCCTTTTCAATTAACATTTGACTATGAATCACTTTTAAATTTTTCATTTATTTTTATATATTTAGGGGGTACAAGTTCAGGTTTCTTACATGCATATATTGCATAGTGGTGAAGTCTGGACTTTTAGTGTACTAATCACCCCAATACTGAACATTGTACCTAATAAGTGATTTTTCAGCCTCTACTCCCTTCCCACCCTCCCAGTTTTTATAGTCTCTGATGTCTTATTTCACTCTATATGTCCATGTGACCCATTGTTTATCTTTCACTTACAACTGAGAACATACAGTATTTGACTTTCTATTTCTGAATTATTTAACTTAGGATAATGGCCTCCAGTCCCATCCATGTGGCTACAAAAGACATGATTTCATTAATTTTTATGGCTGAGTTGTATTATATTATATATATAGATACACACACACACATATTACATATATATACACACACACACACATATTTTATTAATGTGGTATATTTATATATCACGTTTTATGTATCCAGCCCACCATTATGGACACTTAGGTTGAGTCCACATCTTTGCTGTTGTGAATAGTGCTGTGATAAACATATGAGTTCAGGCATCTTTTTGATATAATTATTTCTTGCCCTGTAGACATATACTCAGGAATAGGATTGCTGAGTCATGGTAGTTCTATTTTTAGCTTTTTGAGGAATCTCCATACTATTTTTCATAAAGGTTGAACTAATTTACATTCCCAGCAACAGTATATAAGCATTTCCCTTTCTCCAGGTCCTTATCGACATTTGTTGTTTTTGGACTTTTTAATAATAGTCATTATGACATGTATAAGATGCTATCTCATTGTGCTTATAATTTCCATTTCTCTGATGATTAGTGATGTTGAGCATTTTATTATATGTTTGTTGGCCACTTGTATATCTTCTTTTGAAAAATGTCTATTCATATCCTTTGCCCACTTTTTAATGAGGTTATTAGGTTTTATCTTGTTATTTCAGTTCTTATAAATTCAGGATGTTAGCCCTTTGTCAAATACATAGTTTGTAAATGTTTCTTACCATTCTTTAGGTTGTCTGTTTACTCTGTTGATTGTTTCATTTGCTGTGCAGAGGCTTTATAGTTTAAGTCCATCAAACTATTTTCTTGTTGTTGTGTTTGCTTATGAAGAATTGATCATAAATTCTTTGCCCAGGCCAATGTCTGGAAGAGTTTCCTAGTTTTTCTTCAATTTTCCAAGTTTTTTGTAGTTTACAGTCTCACATTTAGGTCTTTAATCCATCTTGAGTTAATTTTTGTATATGGTGAAAGCTATGAGTCCACTTTCCTTCTTCTGCATATGGCTAGCCAATTTTTCCAGCACCATTTATTGAATAGGATGTCATTTCCCTAGTGTCTAATTTCGTTGACTTTAACTATAAATCTTTGAAGATAGAAGTAGAACTCCATTGAAGATTATGTCTATTAAATCTGAAATTTTTCCTCTAGTGTCAGAATCTATTTGTAGGGTAATTAACCTCTAGAAATGAAAAACAAAATCCTTTAATTTAAATACAAATCAACTCCTTTTGTTTTGCTTACCTATACTCATACTAATAAATTATTGATATTATTTTAATTTATTTGATAGTTAACATGAAAAAATAAAAAATTAAGAAAAGATTATGACTTTCACATTTCTAGTGCTTTTCTTTACAAGTAAAAAACATATAATTATTTCTAATGTTTTTACTTATTTTTTTGCTCTTTTATTTTGATCGGTTTTTATTAAGCATCTAGTAACACAAGTTATTTACTCTAGTTGACATAAAGATAAAATATGGTCCTTTCACAACTTACAATTTGGTATTATGATTATATTTAAAATAGGTTTTTTTTCTATTTTCATTTTATGTCAGGGGAAGGGTATTCTCTTTTATTATATAATTCATGTTGTACAATATTGTAACCATTAAGTAAATGGAAATATAATCAGTGTTTCATATACTAAAGTATATTTAGTATCATTGAATAATAATTTAATAGGTATTTCCCACTTTTTAAAAAAAGTTACATTCCATTTTAATTGGTAAAATTTTTAAGTATTTTTTTCTATCATGTGTTAAAGAGGTGTATGTAGGAAAACAGCCATTTGGTACACTATCCAGAAAATTATTCCATTTCCAGAGAAATTTAAAGGCAGTACCATAAATACCTAAATCCCCTCTTTATCCTTTCCCTGTGAATAATTGTATGTCATAAGAAATACATGGACTCTGTCTGACAAATCTCTTGACACCAGCTGTCATTTGTTTTCATTAATCATACTTTTTTCACATATGCTTATTTTAAAACATAAGCTTAGCAACTATTATAAGAGAAAATTGATGAGTTTTAAGTTTATTCATAACACTTCCCATAATATAAATCTCATAATTTAATTTCTATTCTAAATATTTTTAAATGTCTTTTGAGTTTATGTCAAAAATAAATGTCTCGATTTTTTTTCTACTTGTGAATGTTAGGGTCTTGTTGAAAAAATTCAAGCTTCCAAGGAACCATGAATGTAAGTTTTGGGGTTTGGGTTTTTTGTTTTTATTTTACTAATTTAAAGTTAAAAAATATAAGAATTTTTTTATTTAACATTTTCTAAATTTAGATGGTTATTTTTCTAGGGAATCTGGTAACTATCAGTAGCTCAGCTTCTTAAACTTAAGACACTTGGAACATTTTTCATCTTAAAAAAATGTAACTTTGTATGTCATTTTCAAACTCGTAGGCACTTAATAAAAACAGGTATGAAACAATGGCCAGTTATTAAGTAGAAAAACATTTATGTATTCTAAGAAAAGTTTACAGTGGTTTCTGTGTCTAAAATTTTTAAATTGTGAGAAAAACAGCAAATGTGATTTTTTTAGATCCCAGAAATAGACTGTTGGTATGGCACATTGTTTTACTCAAAAATATTTGCTGAATGAAATTTTTTTGCAAAACAAAAGCAGAGTAAAATGTAGTTTTTAAGTGAGTTCTGAAATTGAGTTAAGAGTCAGTTATATATTTATATAAGTTTAAATTCCAGAGTTCTCAAAAATAAGAGAGAAAGAAAAATAATTGCAATACAGGTCACCTAAATTTGTACATTTTATAATAAAGATACTGTCATTGTGAAAGGGTTAATTGCAGTTAAGGAATTGTTTGATCTATACTAGACCCATCTAAGAACTCCATTTTTAAAAGTATTAATAAATGTTTCTGATATTAATGCATAAAGTGATAATTAGTTTTTTATTTTTTTTCTATTCAAAAAGAATTTGTTTTATTTAGGCAAGTTTATTTCCCCCTAGCTATTATAGAATTACAATCACAGTAGACATATTTTTAAAATTATCCCAGATAATAAATTACCATTAGTGTTTCACAGGGATTTTTCTCTTTTTTCACTCTACATATTTTTTTAGAAATGTCCCCCATTTTCCATGCCTCCAACTGTTAACTCTGTACGGTGATTCCCAATCTTACCAGCAGACCAATATTTCCAGTTGCCTTCTGGGGCAGCTCAATTTGGAGGTCCCATGGGCATCTTAAATACTGACTTCTCCATCTGTGCTCCGCTCTTAGATTCCTTACCTCACATGGTGGCTTTCCTTTTTATTTTCTCTTCAAAGCTATAAACCTTGATATTCTCTCTGATTTTTTTCTCTCTCATTCTCTTCTGTCATATATCTACCCATACCACAAATCCTGCTTGTTTTACATCCTACATATTTCTCAAGTGTTTCTATTTCTCCATACTCATTCTTACATTTGTTCCACTTTCCTCAGCCCTTAGTACCGTTCTAAGTAGCCTCCTTGTTTCCAGTGCCTGCACTTTGCACTTTGTCTTTCACCCGCCAGATAGACAGATTCTTTCTAAAATGTCAGCCTCTTCTTAATCCTCTCTCTCAGTCCCTTCATGCATGATGACTAGGTTGTATGATTTTATATATATTGTTTTCTTTTTGACTTCTCCATTGTATTCACTGAAGTTAAATGTTGACTCTTTCTCCAAAGTCTTATTCTCTACACTATTCTTCCATATCATTTTCACAAGCTTCGATACTGAGGCTGTCCAATAGAGATATAACATACATATGTAATTTTCTAGTAGCCATATTATAAGAAGTAAAAAGAAACAGGGAAGTAATTTTAATATGTATTTTAACTTAACCCAGTACATCAAAATATTATTGTGTCAACATGTAATCAATATAAAAGTTATCAGCTATTTTACTTTTTTTATACTAAGTCTTCAAAATCTAGCATATTTGTTATACTTACAGTAGATCTCAATGCTGACACTATATTTTCAATGGAAATATTTGATCTGTATATAGACTTCGTCAAACTTTTCAGTTGAAAAATAGATTCACATATCCAAATTGTTACATACTTATACATTTTTCTGTAACTATAGATTATCAGCTTTAAGTTAAAAACTAAATTTTTAATTTAACAAAATGTAAAATTTGTTTTGTCAGTCACACTCGTCAAATTTCAAGTACACAAGAGCTACCTATGGCTAATGGCTGCAATATTCAACAGTGTAGTTCTACCCAATTAAATTCAACAAATATTTATTGTACCACATATTAGCCAGGAGCTCTGCTGGGTGCTTTTTCTAAATTGAAAAATATGTATTGCTAGTATATGAATGTCTTTCATCTGCAAACACAGCAATTTTGTATTGATCAATTTAATATTTTACATTGTATTATTATTCTTTGCACTTATTGAAGACAGCAACCATTCAGTCTACAGTAGGAAATTTTTTAATGTTTAAAATTAATCCTATATAATTTGAGAATTTATATTTCCTTCTGAAATAAATATTTTTATATCTTTTATATTTAAAAGAAATTTTAATTAGTAAACATTGAGAAAATCCCATGTGTACAAAATAATACTAGAGAGTGTAATAATATTCAAAGTAAGTCTTAGTGATCTTAGAATTTATCATTTAAATTAAAGCTAGAATAAACATATATGAAAAATAAACAAAACTATAAATAACTACTCCTTAGGATTATGTGTAGTATTTAAGTAAGTGTGGAGGGAATGTTACTTGTAATGAAAGAGGAATGTTTTGAACATCATTCAGAGATTCTTTTCCAAAAGGAATCTGGAAGCAATTATCTACATTCCAGTGTTGCATATAAGAAACCTGAGACTCTCTTTTCTTTTCAAAGACCGACAAAAAATGATTATATGGGAATTTTATTATGAAAAATGTTAATTTTTGAACACTGAACATTCTTTTTTTCACAAACATTTTCCCAACAAAAGCTAGATTTACCACCTGATAGTTCCTTTTAAATGCAATCACTAGTGAATACTATCTGTTCTTTTTGGAATTAAGTATTTATGAATAAAATTAAAACCTCATTAAAGGAAATTTTTCTAAATTCTCACCAGAAAGATGTAAACTTTTTATTTTCTATTTTCCGTTTATGATTTTATATATATCATAAAACAGCCTAATATTCTGTCAGAATTATGTGTTCTGCTTTTATCAGACATTGTTACTTTATATTTTCTTTTTTTTTTTGAGATGGAGTCTCGCTCTGTCGCCCAGGCTGGAGTGCAGTGGCAAGATCTCGGCTCACTTCAAGCTCCACCTCCCGGGTTCATGCCATTCTCCTGCCTCAGCCTTCTGAGTAGCTGGTACTACAGGCGCCAGCCACCACACCTGGCTAATTTTTTTGTATTTTTTTTTCTTAGTAGAAACGGGGTTTCACCGTGTTAGCCAGGATGGTCTCGATCTCCTGACCTCGTGATCCGCCCTCCTCGGCCTCTTACAGGCGTGAGCCACTGCGCCCGGCTACTTTATATTTTCAATGCTATACAATCTCTGCTATATAATGACTTTCATTAAAAGTCATCAAAGGCTAGCTAATATTTCACTAAATATGGTATATTATAATCAATTTAACATTCTTCCACTATTAGGCATTTATTTCTAATTACTTGTTATATTCTTTGTATATGAAGCTTTTTGTTCTTTTCAACTATTTCCTTAGCCTAAAGTCTTATTGTGTTTTGGAGTAGAAGTGTTACTATTTTTATGTCTTCCCCTCATATGTACTGCCAAATATGTTGTCAGAATACTTTTGCTGATTTACATGATTTCAGCAATATGTCAATTTCCTTAAGTTTTGTTTTTTGGATTCCTGTATTGGCACATTTTAACTGTAGTACTTAAGCATACAAAGAAAGATATTAACAGCATATTTAAGAAATATGAAAATAAAGACACATAGAAATATTTTTCCATGTTAGTAATATTTCTATAATTTTGGAAAGAAAGACAGCCACACAAAGGAGGAAAAATACCAGATACAAGGTTCATAGTAATCTATCCATGCCTGATAAATTAAATAAGAAAAGAGTTTCTATTCTCTGGTATATTTATTTAACATTCCTTTATGGAAGATCTAAAATGTCTTCAAATACCTTTTTTATTATACTTTAAGTTCTAGGGTAAGAAATAACATAAAGCAAACAAATCATAACTTTTATTATAGTGTTTATTCAGTCAGTTTTATTTAGTGTCTGTGCTTTATTCTTATTTCAACTCATTTGCCTTTGATGCAAATAAAATTGAACATCTTCCACTGCCTTGTTTACTATTTGTGTTTTATGTGAATTGTATTTTGGCTATTTATTAGGATAAAACTGCAAACATAATTATTATAAGCATTACTTTTTTCAAATGTTTTTCTAATCTATAAATTTTTCTCTATGACTTTATTCAATTTTGTTATACATATGAATTTTTGTGTTATTAAATCGGATCATCTGTTCTTTTCATGTTTATTGTTTCGACCCTTTAAAAATTGTCTTTCTTCCATAGTATCAATAGTTCTTTGGGGTTTTTTTTCTGCTCTTTTTATTATTTTTGTTCTTCATTATATAATAGCATCAGTGTGTAGTTGTTTTGGTATAAGTTGGAGGTCGGTATTTGGTTTGAGTTAATTTTCTTCATATTGCCACCCAGTTATCTCAGTAACAGTTATTACATATACTTCTTTTGCTCTTTGTTTAACAATGTCTATTATTTAGAGCATCTCATATATTATTACATTTATTACTTATACAACACATTGTGATGTCAGTTCAGATTAGCTGCCTTGCTCTTCTCTTTCAAAATATTCATGTATAATCTTATGCATTAATTTTTCCAAATTCATTTTAAAGTTTGTTTCTTCCTTTTATTTTCCAGTTCACATTTTACCACACAGAACAATTTGTTGCCAGCTTCTTTTATGAAATTTTATTCTTCAGTATTTCTGCTGACCCAATGCATCTTTATTCCCCAAAGCACAATATTTTGTTATTTATTTTTCTCTCCTTTTTTAGAGAGCAGATGTTGCTGTGTCTCTATGACAAATAGTCCTTCTTCCCCAAAGTAATGGTTAACTAATGTATGATGCCCTCCCACATTCCACTTGCCATTCCACCTCAGACAGGGGGCCGCGATTTCTGTATTGAAATGTAACTGTGATGTTTTCAGTGTTTTTAGTGTTTAGTTGGGGGGTCTTTCCAGAAAAGCAGAGCATTTTATTATCTTGGAAATAATTTTTAATTCATATATAGTAAAAAGATATATAAAATGAATAGAAGGCAGGGGACCGATAACAACTAGCATTTAAATTATGACATGTTCAGGAGTAGGAGAGGGAAGGGGGAAGCAGCAAAGAGATGGGCCAAGGAATAAAGAGTCTAAGATTCCCTGATCAAAACTATAGGCACTTAGAACATCATTCCCTTAAGGATTGCAGAATGGAGAAAATTCAGAATTCAAAAAATGCACCTGCTAATGGTGCAGGCAATATAGGAACTAATAGATTGTCCTGAGAACCGCTGATCAAATCTGTTGAGGACGAGGCTAATGAGACACTCTTTTGTAGGTACACAAAACAGAAACAGAAAATAGGCACAATTAGTTAAGTCTTGCTCTTCCATTATTTTTTAATTCACTTATTCATCTAACAAATAATTACAGTAGCTACTCAGATATCAGTTTCCTCCTTATGTATTCATGTCCTATTTATTTTAATATTCTTATATGTTCATAAAATATTTGTTATGGACAAGTGAACAGCTCAAAGTATAAGACATGATTGTAACACCAATCCAAGGATGAACACTATCATATTCAAGTGCACTGTTTGCATTGACTCTTTTTTAGTAACAAGAAAAAAAAAATTTATATTTTTTCATATGACTCTCTTCTGACATTTTGGCTCTGAAAAAAATGTAAAGCAGTGGTCAATGTCAGTGTGATAATTCAGTCAAAACTCTGATATTTGAAAGAAAATTCTAACTTTCAGCATAAGTTGTTACCTCTCTGTAGCTCCAATTTTGTGACTGAATTTTAATACTTTGGGATTTTTCACTAGCTGCTTTACAATTGGGTCTTGGAGAAAGAGAGATAAGTGACTTGCTTCGGGGGATACATCGAGTTCAAACTCCCCAACCAGGAACAAATGACCACAATGAACATGTTGAAGAAGATGGGTACATTAAACAGAAGGAAATTGATTCCGAGGATATCTGCTCTATTTGTCAAGAGCTACTTTTAGAGAAAAAGCTTCCTGTCACCTTTTGCAGGTGATGTATTTTTTCTTTGGAGTCTTAAAACTAATTAAAAATTCTAAAACATATTTGTGATTTATTACCTTAGGAGACATGATAGGGAAAAAATAGACAACTTTATCTACCGCTAATTTATACTTAATTAAATTCCTTTGTTTTCTAACACACACACACACACATATATTATATATTTATATATATAGTATATTTATATATAATATTATATATTGTATATGTTAGGAAACAACATATATATGTGTGTGCATATATGTTGTGCGCTAAATATACGCTCTTACTCTAAATCTTTCTGAACTACACTATAAGGGTAAAAATTGAAGCATAATTCCACAATTATTCCTCCTCCCACCTTAAGTAACAGGAGTAGAGTAATTTTTGTGTTTTTATTTTATACATATGAATAAATATTATGGCTTATTATAGTTATAGAGACTTCTCTGGAAGTAAAGATTATTTTACTTTGAAATTACAAAAATTATTTTCAGTTTTTCAAAATTCTATCTTTAAACCTCTTCACATATGCACAAATGTTTACTGAGAGTCTAATGTTCATACTTTTCTTCACAGCACTATAAGGTTGAACTTGAAAAATTTGGACAGCCATTTGCCATTGCTATCTTTTTCTCCTGATCATTCTTTTTTCTTCTGATAATTTAACAAAACTTTTGTACACACTGTAGTTGTTCATATGTCTGCTTCTATTGCATATTGTAAAATTAACTACTTTCCAAAATAATATTTCTCTCAGCAGCTATTTCTTTGGTACTACCATGTATTATGTGACTTCTGGAAAAATATGGTGGCACCCCTGCTCTCAGTGAAGCATTTTATTAAAATAATTATTATTATTTTCCTTTGTGTTAAGCCTATATTCATTCTCACTTTACAAATGAAAATATTGTAATGTTGCAAAATCTTTCACCATTTCATTGCAAAGAAGGAAAATTTAAGTTTGGAATTCTGATGCATTAAAGATGATAGATTACTAGAGTGAGTGAGTGTGTGTGTGTATGTAATCAAGCTATAGCTGAAAATCAGTTCAGAATCTATTTTTATGTGGAACAAAGATGGTAGCACAGGAAATTTTACTTATATAAATATATATGTAATATATATATACAACGGATATATAAAACTGCTCTATACAAATGATAAACTTGAATTTTTATCTCTCATAGGTTTGGCTGTGGCAATAGTATCCATATAAAATGCATGAAAATCTTAGCTAATTATCAGAGTACATCAAACACTTCCATGTTGAAATGTCCTCTGTGCAGGAAAGAGTTTGCACCATTAAAACTTATTTTGGAGGAGTTCAAAAACTCTAGCAAACTTGTAACTGCAGCAGAGAAAGAGAGACTGGACAAACACCTTGGAATTCCCTGTAATAACTGCAAACAATTTCCAATTGAGGGGAAATGTTATAAGTAAGTGTTCTCTGTAAACTATAAGCATGTGTTCTTTTTATTTTTTTACATCAGGAAACTTTGAGCATTAGAGCACCCATTCTATAGCCTCCCTCTTCCTGCATATACTGTTTGACTTGTGTGACAACTGCTTATTTAGGACTTACAGACTGACCTCTATCTCGGTCCAGTATCTCAGGAACTCCAATCATTTTATTTTCTTCTCCTGTGCAAGGGTATTGTTTTGAGCTCTGGTCTAGATTGGGTCTGAAGTAGCACCCCATCCTAGAAGCTCTGGACACAGGATAGGTGGCTTTAGCTTAGATGAGTTTCCAAGCTCAGAGCCTTGCTGGATCTCTCACCCTCTGTAACTTTATTTGAACTACCTTTGAGGTCAGTTCCAAAAATTCCAAAGATTGGGCCAGAGGGACATTGACTAGATTGACTGAATATTTAATCCAGTCCTTCCTACTCCAAATTGCAATGAGTACAGATTTTGCTTTCTTTCATATCTTATACTTCAACAACAACTACAAAAACATAGTAATTATTAGAGCAAACAATTTTCACTGTGAATAACCCCCAAACTTTCCCACAATTCTCACGATAAAACATAAATTAATTGCTATGCCTAGGAAATTGTATTTTCTTAATTAAAATTTTAAGTTAACAGTACATTAATAAGAAAACATTATTTCAATCTTTGTTACATTTTTTTGAAATGCATCAGTTTATTTTTCAGCCTTCTTGAATTACATTATGATGAGCCCAATTTAAATTATATATATATTAAAATTCATAAAGCCATAAAACATTATCACATCCAACAGCAAATTATACCTATTTCCTTTGAATTTAGTTTTATTTTCTGTATGTGTTACACAGAAGAAAGTTAATTATTCACAAAAGTGTTTGCTGGAAAATGGCTGGCCTCAGAAGGCTCCTAGGGAGGACTCTAACTTGGGGAGGAAGTACAGAATGTTTACAAACTTTTAGCAAGAGGTATTTAGCTAGGTTCAGGAATGTTGTTTAAAGAGGATTCCAGGAAAAGGAAGGACTTGATCTTTGGTATTAGCAGCCGTCATATGGGCAATTTAAATTTTCTCAAGAGGGGTGGATAGCATCAGTGAGGGACGGGCTAAGGTCACATGTGAAAGAGGGGGCTGGGACATGTGGGGGAACAAGGACATGTGAGGGCCACAGTATAAAATTCTCAGTGCTTACAATCAATGTTCCCCAAATGGTTTACATACAACTTTAGTGTAAATCTTGCTTTTAGGTATGTTGTTGATGACAGTACACTCCTGTCACTCAGAGCTTTCTGACTGCTTTTTGTGTCCTTGGGCATTATTCTTCCTACTAAGTAAACACATGACCCACTATCCTGCCGCCTGCCCACTAGTGACCCTACACTCTCCTTTGAGAGTCTTTTCTTGTCTCATAGCTTCTCCTCTAGGGATCTTGCTAACAATTACTCATCTCTGTCTCCATTCTCTTTTACAAATTAAAGAATACATTTTCAATGTTTGTGACTCCATCCATCTTCCATTCCCTCGAGTACTGACATTTCAGTCATCAGTCTGAAAAACTATTTCCATTTCTTTTAGGAACACATTGAGTAGGAGACAAGATTAACTAGAAAGTTTCTTCATTCCTTCTTCATTAGAATTTCAGAATTTAACTACTTCATCTTTTAAGAGGTTAATTCCAAAATTACTAGATATATGTTAAAATACAGAGATGCTTAATTTTTTTTAGCCCAGCATACTTTGATGTATTGAATAAATGGCACCATTTCTTCAACCCATTGCTGTTAATTATTAAAATCTTCCCTGTATGTACAAAGAGTAATAATGAATAAATTAGCATTTGCTTCTTTTAAGATGTCTGAGGGACATATTTTCTTAAATTTTTCATGGCAATAATCTTCTAAATATTTGATAACTTGAATAATAAGTTTACTTGATTACTGCTCAGAATATTTTCAGTTTGATAAATTATGTTGCAAGTAATTTAAAATCCTCTGCTTGTGACACAATTTTATAAACAATATAACTTTTAGATTGGGCTTTTATGGAAAGTGGTTTTTTTTTGACTTGTCAATAGTTTTTACTGAGATCTTTTATGTTTACCTTTTTCCATTTTGTGGGAAAAAAAGAATATAATTTTTATTTTCAAGAAGTATGCTGCCAGCTCTAACTCTGGCACTCACAAAACAACTGGAAAGCAGCACTGGATAATCAAATGACAGAATATCTAATAGACTGTAGCTCCTATAAGAATGTAGAGAAAGAGGTAAATGAAAGCTAAGGTAGTCTGAGAAGGCATCATGGAAGTGGCATGTGGTGGACAAAATAATAGACTTCCTAAAACGTCCACATCCTTATGCCCAGAACTTATATGTCATAGAAGAATTAAGGTTGCAGAGGAAATTAAGGTTTCTAATCACTGACCTTGAAATAAAGAGGTTATCCTGGATTGCTTGAATAAGCCTTGTGTAATCATATAGGTTCTTAAAAGTAGAAGAGGGAGGCAAGAGAGAGGGAAATGTGATTGTGGAAGAAAGGCAGAGAGATGCTACTTTGTTTGTTTTGAAATGATCACAAGCTAATAAATGTAGGCAGCCTCTAGAACAGCAGTCCTCAAACATTTTGGCACCAGCGACCAGTTTTGTGGAAGACAGTTTTTCCACAGGGGTTATTGGGGGTTGGTTTCAGGATGAGACTGTTCCACCTCAGACCATCAGGTACTAGATTTTCATAAGGAGCACACAACCTAGATCTCTCATGTGCGCAGTTCACAATAGGCTTCACACTCCTTTGAGAATCTGATGCCACCGCTGATCTGACAGAAGGTGGAGATTTGCTCTCCCACAGTTCACCTCCTGCTGTATGTCCCGGTTCCAAACAGGCCACAGACCAGGTCAGCGCCGGGGGTTGGGGACCCCTGCTCTAGAAGATGGAAAGAGCAAGGAAATAGATTCTACCCTAGAGCCCCCTAAAAGTAACACAGCCCTGCCAACCCGTTGGTTTTAGCACACTGAAACTCATCTCAGACTTCTATTCTATGGAAGAATAAGATAATACATTTGTGCAGTTTAAGCTAAGTTTGTAGCAAATTTTTACAGCAGCAACAGGAAACTAATACACATTGTGACTTGAGATGATCCTTGTCGTGTTTGAATTGTTCCCAGGAAGTTTTGGTCTGAATTTTTCACCCAAAACCATCACAATAATAGGATGTTTTTTCTTGCGTGTTTTGATGTTTTGTATTTTTAGGTGTACCGAGTGCATAGAATATCACTTATGCCAGGAATGTTTTGATAGCTGCTGCCATCTTTCCCACACGTTTACATTTCGTGAGGTACAGTATCCATCTTGAATCTAATATGGTGTTTCTATTTGTCCTGTTGTAGAGCTAAGTCAGTCTAAGAATAAGAAGAATAACATAACACTGTGGAACAGAGCTGATTGGTTTTTAATACAAACCTAAAGCTATATTTTTAGGAGAGCTCTTTTTCATAAGGCTACACAAAGCAACCAGTTCTTACACTGGTAATTTATAAAATCTAACATGATAAGAAACATCTGATGACATTATGAATAAATTTTTGGAACAGAAAATATAGCCATCAAACTTGAATATTAGTTTTTAAAAAGCTGTCAACATTACAAATGTCTTATAATGAAAAGTCAAAAAATTTATGATTTTCTCTTAAATTTTCTTACATAAACAATAATGAAACATGGAATTTTACCAGGATAATTTAAATCATATACTTTAAAAGTATCTCCTGATGTTGAATAATACTACTACTTTCTGCTTACCAGACAAGATAAAATAAAACAAGCACAATTATTGTTATTTTTTACCTTAAAAAGTAATGCCATTATAGTAGCTGTGCAATAGCATATGAGAATCACTAACAATTTGTAAATACTTTAACATGTTGAAAAATAATATATATGCTTTAAAATATTGTGTATTGGCTGGGCGCGGTGGCTCACACCTGTAATCCCAGCACTTTGGGAGGCCGAGGTGGGCGGATCATGAGGTCAGGAGATAGAGACCATCCTGGCTAACACAGTGAAACCCCGTTCTCTACTAAAAACACAAAAAATTAGCCAGGCGTGGTGGTGGGCGCCTATAGTCCCAGCTACTCGGGAGGCTGAGGCAGGAGAATGGCATGAACCCAGGGTTAGAGCTTGCAGTGAGCCGAGAATGTGCCACTGCACTCCAGCCTGGGTGACAGAGTAAGACTCTGTCTCAAAAAAAAAAAAAAAAAAAAAATTGTGTATTATTCACATTATTGATATGCAAACTACTAATTTTTATCCACAAAATGAAAATATCCATGACTTTGCAAAGTAACATCTACTTTTCACCTATTACAGAAAAGAAACCAAAAATGGAGATCACTAGAAAAAAGAACAGATGAAGCTGTAAAATACATAGATACTAAAAATGAGATAGAAGAAAAGATGTCACATTTTCAAGAAAAGCAAGAGTGAGGTTCCCAGTAAAATTTATATTTCTTGTATGACCGAATCTTTGAATAACTTTTCAATTTGAATAAGTTGTATTTATTCTCTTATTTATTATTTAATTATTATTAAGCATTTAGATACTAGGTGGCATTGTACCATCCAGTTGAAGAGCAAGGCTGTAGAGTCAGACTGCCTGAATCCAATCATAGTTCAACCACACATTGTCTATGTGACTAGTTACTTCACTTCTATCTGCCACATTTTCCTCATCTTTAAAATGGGAGTAATTGTTAAAACCAACCTTGTAGGAATTTTGTGAGTATGAAATGAGTTAATACACACAATAAATATTCAAATAATGTTATCTATTATTTTTAATTTGACCAGAAACTATACTAGATACTAGGGATACAGTGGTTTCCTCAGTAATCAAATAATGATCGATGTAAACGTAAAATTGAAACTGACGTCAGTTATGTTTAAATAAAAGCAGATTCAAATATATTTGAAATTTTCCTTTGAAGTAATTGGCCTCTGGGGGAAGAGGCCAATTTTTTTGCTTCATTCTCCCTCTTTCTACCCTCTACTTCACCCTGTTGGAAGAAGAGTGCTGAGCAGATTGGTTTTATTTCAGAACATTGATTCAGAACATTATTAGTGGAGAGGTCTCCAGACCTTTTGCAGTAGTCCTGTTCAATTACAGAAAATTTAGGCTGGGCACTGTGGCTCAAGCCTGTAATCCTAGCACTTTGGTAGACCAAAGCAGATGGATCACCTGAGGTCAGGAGTTCAAGACCACCCTGGACAACATGGTGAAACCATGTCTCTACTAAAAAAATACAAAAAAAAAAAAAAATTAGTGGGGAGTTGTGGCACATACCTGTAATCCCAGCTACTCGGGAGGCTGAGGCAGGAGAATTGCTTGAACCTGGGAGCCAGAGGTTGCAGTGAGACGAAATGGCAACACTGTACTCCAACCTAGGCAACAGAGTGAGACTGTATCTCAAAAAAAGAAAGAAAAAAAGAAAATGTAGCCTGTCATAATATTAAGAGATTGTGTATATTATGAAACACATAGAAAAGAGACAACTTTTAAAGGATGGGATTAAATAGAAACTAAAAATACTTTCAGTGAATCAACTAAACAAAAAATGTGCTTGTTCTCACTAAATATATATATATATATATATATATATGTATATACACACACACACATATAATACACCCATACCCCCACACACATGCACATACACACATATATGTAAGTTTCTATCCAAACTTCAATTGATATATAGCCCATGCCCATGGGTACTGCACACACATTGGAGACTAGAGCTCTTGTGGGGCATCAAATGAGCCTACACAAAGGCTTTGCAAATCCATTTTCCCTGCATAGGTATCATACTTCATCCTGTTAGAATGCTAAGTTGTATAACTAATGGTTGGACTTAGGAGATATTGGGGGACAGGGAGTTCAGAAGGAGAACATTAGGGGAAGAAGGACATTTTAGGCAGAGAAAATGGAATAAATAAAGAGAATTTCAGGATAAGAAACAGTAGGTAACAAGCTTAAAAAAGTACTAAAAATATACATTTTCATTGAAATTAGATGACCCTGGTAAGAGCAAGTTCTGTAATATGATGGGGATATATCTGCAGAGTAATGAGAAGTACAAACTTTTCTGAAGAATATATTTGAACTTTGTTCTGAACGACTTTTGAATGATAGGAACATATCTGACCTTTTAACCAAACTTTTTTTTCTCTTAAAGATTTGTTGTATCTGTTTTACCAGTTGCAATGGCATCAAATAGCAGTTAATTCATAGTATATCATCTTAGTTATGTCAGTCAGTATTTTTGGTACAACAAATGGAGTTGGTACTTTTAGAGTTAAATTAACATAGTCTAACAATATTAAAGTGATAAGAATATACCCCAAATGAAAACAAATTTCCTTATCTCTTATGATCTACCAATTTATTATAGTAGCCTGGAATATTTAATGTGGCTTACTATACACTTCACTTCCTACCAGAAGACAGAGTGAATTGGGTTGTATTTTTCTAAACAGTTGCCTAAGTGTTGACTCAGACTAAAATATTATAATTTGAGTATATGGTCTGATTTTATTGACCTTAAAGTGCAACTCAAACTCAAAAATTTTGGGTTAGCATTTTTATTTGATATGACTACTTAAAACTTTTTTTTTTTTTTTTTTTTTTTTTGAGGTGAAGTCTCACTATGTCATCCAGGCTGGAGTACAGTGGCGCGGCTCACTGCAACCTCCACCTCCTGGGTCTAAGGGATACTCCTGCCACAGCCTCTTGAGTAGCTGGGATTACAGGCACCCACCACCATGCCTCGCTAATTTTTCTGTATTTTTATTAGAGATGGGGTTTCGCCATGTTGGCCAGGCTGGTCTCAAACTCCTGACCTCAGGTGATGCACCCACCTCAGTCTCCCAAAGTGCTGGGATTACAGGTGTGAGCCACTGCGCCTGGCCAAAATCTTTGTTCTTTATGAAGTTGGATCCATATTGTTCAGGATCAATAAAATAGATTTTTTAACTTTATAATATATGAGATTGATTATCTTTAGTTCAAGAAAACCTAGGGTTCATTGCATTATTTATATAGAGACTACTTACCTGTGCTATTGATCGCTTCCTGATCTATAATAACATGCAAACACTCATGTCTCTTCTTCTTCTCATGCAGCCAAGTTTACACACCAAAACACGTTGTAAGATCACTGCCTCTCCAACTGGTTACTAAGAATAGTAAGCTTCTTGCTCCAGGCTACCAGTGTCTACTTTGTTTGAAGGCATTTCATCTTGGTCAACATACAAGATTGCTACCATGTACACACAAGGTAAAAGTCACATCATTTTAGTTTTACTTTCCCTGTAGGGTCAATTTTCACAAATGAAGTGACAATTTAAGTCTGTCCTTTTACTTTTGAGTTGTACTCTGTACAGAGGTGTCCACATTGCACAGCACATATAGAAAGAACTGCCACAGAGACTATTGCGAAGGCAGCTTTCTCCCTGAGGATGTGTTTATACTGATTAGTACTCATTTCTGTATATACTATCTAGGAAAGATAAAATGATACTTTAAGTTAGATTCCTTTATCTACTTTAGTTATCTGTAGAAAGAAAAAGGTTATAGAATACTAATATTTTGCTATGTATTTTTATGAGTCTTAAGATGAAACAGAAATGCCTAAGTTGACAATTATTATTTCATATGAACTCACTGGAATCAGCATACTACTACTAGATCACTATATAATTGATAAGCAACTATATAGTGGTTGATAACCAACTGTTTTTCTGAAATAAAGTTGCTTCAGTAAATAAACAAAGCTTCAGTAATAAAGCTTTAGAGTCATCCTTACTTAAAATGGCTAATTGTTTTTTTCCAAAAATTTAATTTATTTTATATTTTACTGTTATCAGATCCATTTTCAACCCCAGTTGGTTATGACTTTTAAAATAATTTTCATTAGAAATAATTAGAAGTGAAATTAATAGCTTTAGAGAATTTTTAACAAAATTATGAGTGCTATTGATAAAAGTCTTTGCATTTTAATATAGAAAATGGAAATCAGTCCCTACATCAGTTATATATAGAAGTGAACTTCTTGAAAATATTTTCATGAAACTTGATAAATAATTATTTTTCAATTTTGCTAAATATTTTTAATCATACAATTCTGAAACTGGGGGAAATTTACTTGAATAATATTATAAACAAGATTAGTATAGTTCTGATTAGCTTATCTTTTTTTAAAGTTTCACAGGAAATGTATTGACAATTGGTTATTCCACAAGTGCAATTCGTGCCCTATTGATGGACAAGTTATATATAACCCTTTAACTTGGAAAAATTCGGCAGTGAATGGACAAGCACATCAATCTGTTTCAAACAGAGACATCATTCATCTATCAAAGCAGAAAGAACCAGATCTTTTTATTCCTGGTACTGGATTAGTCTTAAAACAAAATAGACTTGGAATTTTACCTAGCATACCTCAGTGTAATTTTGATAAATTGAATACACCTCAAAGCCCAAAAGATGCCTGTGAGAATATACCAATAGACAATCTATGCTCTATCCAATTAGATAATTCAAATTCAAGAAAAGTAACCTATGAATGTAAAATTAGCCAACATTTTCCCAGATACCTTCAAGATTTACCCATGGTATCATTTGGGAAAATACCATCTCAAACATTTCTTCCCCCTATTGTTCATAAGAATATCGTATGTCCCACTGCAATGGAAAGTCCATGCATCCGTGGAAAATACCACACTAGTCAAAACTGGATGACCAAAGGCTGTACATGTAATAACCACAACCTAAAGAAGACTCCTGGCACTAAAATAAGAGAGGACAATAAGAGATCAACTTTACTTTCAGAGGATTTCAATCTTATTGTCAATTGGAGCACAGCTAAACTTAGTTTGTCTAAAAGGTATAATAACTGTATGGGGGAAATTACACGAAAATGTAGTCATCTGTCAAGACAGCCTGTGTCTCACTCTGTAAATACAAAAGGTACTGAGCTACCTTTAATAATAGAAGGAGTTCAAATATGAAAAAGTATTTTTATTTACTATTAGAAAATATTTGAATGTTGAGCATAAAAACTGTTTTATATAGAACATAAAAAGCACATATAGTCTTGACAAATGTATATAAAATTATCTCTTGGAATTTGCCTACTTACCTATAAACAGCTCACTACACTTAAAGGAAATGATTCTATTACTTATACGACTTATAGCATTAGGTATCTTCATGAGTATATTCAGGATGTTATAAATAATGAATAATTTTTAGAGCCTTTATCTTATTTTATTCTGATGTTAGAAATGTTTTACTTAAATTAAGGAAATAGATTTTTTCCTACTTTGAGTCACTGTTTTCAAATATTTTTATGGTAGCACATAACATGCAGGGATTACTTCCTGGTACTTCTGTATTTTTTGCATTTTTCTTGCACTAGTAATTACCACAAACTGATAAAAAAAAAAAAAAAAAAATCGCGCCACTGCACTCCAGCCTGGGAGACACAGCGAGACTCCCTATACTCAATCTAAAAAAAAAAAAAAAAAAAAAAAAAAACTTAAAAAACTCCATAAAGGAGTTTTCTTATACATGAAATGAAAATAAAATGAAATACTATCAGCTATGTCACATTTATAATGGTCTTACTGTTTTATTTTCAAGAAACTTATATAAGTACTTCCAAATTTCTTAATACAATCACTATTATTGAAGGATCTGTAATTTTAAATCTGCTCTATTTTCAAAGTAACCATTGTTTCAAAATGTTCATTTGAAAAAATATAACCCTTAGATTTTTATTTTAAATTATATGGCTCAGTTTCTTTTCAAATGTTTTTAAAATTATTGATGCTATATTGATTTGTATTATCTGTCACAAGGAAAAAATATCACATGATAATTTTTATCATGGTAATAATGGAATACATAGGTCTATGAAACAAATCTTGAAGATATCAAGCAAAATTCTCTGAAAAGAGTGTTTGCATTTAAAGAAGTGATTAAATTGAGGTTAATCATAAACAAAGTAGTTAATAAAATGTAGTTCAGAAACAGTAACTGAGAGATAATTATAATATGAGCTGCCTTTGAAAATTGAATGAAAGTTTGTCTTGCTTCTGACAAATGGATGGCCAAATATATTTGTCAGCAATTCAGAATTTTATCAGCCTATTTGTCTTGAAAGAGAGAGCTAAGGAAACTGCAAAATAATTTTCCAGTTAATAAAATATTATTTATGTTCCCATAGATATTTCACCTTTCTTATTTATTTTATAATTTTTTTTCATGAACTTATATTTTAAGTACCAGGGTACATGTGCAGGATGTGCAGGTTTGTTACATAAGTAAATATGTGCTGTGGTGGTTTGCTGCACAGATCAACCCATCACCTAGGTATTAAGCCCAGCATCCATTAGCTATTCTTTCTGATGCTCTTCTTCCCTCTTCCCCCAAGACAGGCCCCACTGTGTGTTGTTCCCCACCAGGTGTCCATGTATTCTCATCATTCAGCTCTCACTTATGAATGAGAACATGCAGTGTTTAGTTTTCTGTTCCTGTGTTAATTTCCTGAGGATAATGGCTTCTGGCTTCATTTGTGTCCCTGCAAAGGACATGATCTCATTCCTTTTTATGGCTGCATAGTATTCTATGATGTATATGTACCACATTTTCTTTATCCAGTCTATCATTGATGGGCATTTGAGTTGATTCTGAAATCAACCAATTGCGGTTGTGAATAGTGCGCAATGAACATTCATGTGCATGTATCTTTAAAATAGAATTATTTATATTCCTTTGCATATATACCCAGTAATGGAATTGCTGAGTCAAATGGTATTTTTGCTTCTAGATCTTTGAGGAATCGCCACAATATCTTCCACAATGGTTGAACTAATTTACACTCTTACCAACAGTGTAAAAGCATTTCCTTTTCTCCACAACCTCGCCAGCATCTGTTGTTTCCTGACCTTTTAATAATCATCATTCTGACTGGCATGAGATGGTATCTCATCGTAGTTATGATTTGCATTTCTCTAATGATCAGTGATGTTGAGCTTTCTTTCATATGTGTCGGCCACATGAATGTCTTCTTTTGAGAAGTGTCTGTTCGTGTCCTTTGCCGACTTTTTAATGGGATTGTTTTTTCCTTGTAAATTTGTTTAAGTTCCTTGTAGACTCTAGATATTAGACGTTTATTAGATAGATAGATTGAAAAAATTTTCTCCCATTCTATAGGTTGTCTGTTCACTCTGATGATAGTTGCTTTTGCTGTGCAGAAGCTCTTTAGTTTAATTACATCCCATTTGTCAATTTTTGCTTTTATTGCAGTTGCTTTCAGTGTTTTCATTATTAAATCGCTGCCCATGCCTATGTCCTGAATGGTATTGCCTAGGGTTTCTTCTAGGGTTTTTATGGTTTTAGGTTTTATGTTTAAGTATTTAATCCATCTTGAGTTAACTTTTGTAGAAGGTGTAAGGAAAGGGTACAGCTTCAGTTTTTGCATATTGCTCTCTAGTTCTCCCAGCCCCACTTATTAGATAGGGAATCCTTTCCCCATTGCTTATTTTTCACTCTTCTTTTTAAAAGAACCCTTCAAAAAAGATAGACAATCTTTTAGAAAAAAAATAGATATAGGACTATCAACAGTAAAAAAGTTGGAATGCTAGTTGAGATAATGCCATAAAATTCATGTTTTAGTTATGAGAAAGATATAATATGGATACTATTCTTGCACTAGTCAAACTGGTTAATGAATATTTAGCAATTTTAATTTTAATCTTATTGTTGCAGTAATATACAATATACCAAATATTCATGATTATAAAAGGAGAGTAGAAATTAGCTAATACAGTAATGATTCCTTGACCACATAAGCAAGCTTTGCTCAGAGTTGGGGTTGTAAATTAGGTGACTCAACAAGGAGAAGTTAAATAATTTTTAAGTTTTTTAATTACGCAAAATAAATTGCACAAAACCTGTCTGATTTCTAAGAATAAAATTTATCTTATTTGTGAGGAAGAGGAAATGGACTGAGATCAGCATAAAACATACTTCTGGGCAGTTGTGAATAATATGACAGGCTGGTTTAGAGCCTAGAAGAGGAGAAATTGAAATACTGTAGGCAAGTAAGTCTAGGGTAAAGCCATGTGGATGAACATATGGGAGAAGGCACTGCCAAAAGCTGTCCATTGGAAAAATTTTTTCTCGCCACTGTCTTTTAAGGTCAGTCTGGGCAATGCGTCTCCCATCTACCATAAGGAGAGATAGAGAATATTCGACAAATTAAAGAAACATTTAGAAGGTGATCAGTAAGGAAAAGAAGAAAAGCAAGTCTAAAAATGCTTTTTGTGTTAGGTGTTACTTGTGCTCACCAATAATGTCTGGCTCCTTTCCAGGCATTTGAGAAACTACACTTTCCAGCATCATTGGAGTTAGGCAGATTTGGGGACTAAATCTGACCAATGGCAGTTGCCATCCATTTTCAGATTGCACCCACATACCCAGATGACCCATCCAGAAACCAAGCCCAAGTCTTTTCCTTCTGTGTAAGCTTGTTGTAGATATGAGCCAAAGAAGGGGCAGTGTCCAACACTGGTGGATTACATGGGAGTCTGGGCTCTCTGCTCAAGCATCTTAACTTCTGATATTGTTCATGCTCACATCTGGACTTACCAATTCTGTGTTATGATGGATTGCTGCCAGCTCTGTGAGGCAATGGATCTATGACAGACCCCAGTTGCTGACGGGCATTTGTAGAACATCAATCAATTGGTATCCCACGGTCAGGTGCCCAATCTCCACCAGGGCATGCCATGAGTTGTTTTTCAAAGGTATATTGCATGGCCTTGTTCCAAAACTTCAGGTACATACATGTGATTTCCCCATATTGGGCTTTCCAGAAGCTCCAAAGGTCATCTTTACCTACCACCAATACCTCTAATACCATAGAGTCTACCAGGTTGCATGGCCCAGACAGTAGAACTGCTTATACCACTGTCTAGACTTGCAACCCAGCCAAGGTTTTCCTGTTCTGGGTCCCCCCAAATCTGACAGCCATTGGTATTATCCAGCATATGGGCCACAGCAGTAATCCCATGTGTAGAATAATGCAATATGCCACCCATATAACTCGGAGATGTTGAACTTTTTTTTTTTTTTTTTTTTGTGGTAAGAAGTAAAAGATGTGATCAGTTATCTTTTATTTGAGAATGAATATCCTGGCATGTCCCCGTTCATAGGAACCCTATAATTTTAATAATGTGAAGGCCCCTGAATCTTTGTAGGGTTTATCTTCCATTCTGTAGAGCACTTGTGTCTTAAGGAGGATTATGATAACAACTTCTTGCCCATCTGGCCCAATTAACATAACAGCATTGATGCAGTAAATCAATGTACTCTTCTGCAAGATGTTCAAATAATTTGGAGGACAGGAGAGTTGACATAGTCCTAGGTCAAAACTGCAAATATATAATATCGCCTATTCTATGTGAACAGGAGCCCTTTCTGACCTTAGCAGAATAGAATACATTCACCATATTAATGGATTTACATCATGTACCTGAGAACATAATGATCTCCTGTAGCAAAATACCACATCCAGCATGGCTGCTGCAATTGGGATTACAATTTCATTGAGTTTGCAGTAGTCTGCTTTCACCTTCCAGAATCCTTCCAGTTTTTGCAAGGGCCATATGGGTGAATTGATGGAGATTTAATACGGACCAACAACTCTGCATCTTCTAGATTCTTAAGAGAGTGGCACTAATTTTCACCATCCACTTAGGGATGTGATATTGGTTTTGATTTATTATATTTGCTGAATTTGTGTAACAATTTTAAAGACTTATACTTCCCCCTCTTCTATGATTATCTTTATGCCGCAGGCCAAGAACCCAATGTGAGGCTTGTAGCAATTATTTAGTATGTTATTCTCAATTATACTTTCAGGCACCAGGGAAATAACCACTTAAGAGATCTGAAGAAACAGTGGGCCCAAAAAAGCCAGATGTTTCCCAGGATTCCATTTACTATCTGGTCTCGATATGGCCCCACTCTAGAGGGGGCATAATGATGCTTCAAGTCTTGAGTATGACTGTCATTTCTGACTGTGTCCAACAAACCTTAAATGTTTGGCTGTCCCCCTTTTAATGCATGGCAGTAGGGTGACTAACTCAACTCAGTT